GTTGCAACAGTTGAAAAATTTGAACATGAAGGCTGTTCATGAGAATTTCCAACATCTGAAATTTGTTACAATTTTGCATTTTTATAGATGTCAGTATGATTAGGCAAACACATTATTAGAAAATGAACGGTTAGTAAATTTATGAAATAGTTAGAAAGCTTTTTTTGCTACTTAGTAACTAGTACTACATGAATATTAGTACACACCTGATGATCCAATCTCTACCGATGATTTGGAACAATCATTTTGCTCTTTGCAGTAATTGTGTTCAATCGTAACTGGCTCAAGCTAAATGTAGTGATTATATTCTCTTTGGCTCAAGCCTCAAGCTGCAGTCTAATATACAAGTATATATAGTCAAGCCAAAGAGTATAGTAGGTCAGGCCAAAGACAATTTTTTTTAAAGATTATAAATATTACTTAGAGTCATTACTACGTTCTTATACGAAAATAAAAAAAATATCAAGAATTAAAATATGGAATTATTTGTATGAAGGTCAAGTGAGCGCTAGAGTAACGACGATTGCAAGACGATTTGTCGATAAATGGAATGTTTCGAGAAATTACCAATTACTGTGTAGTGGCGGTGTATGAATATTTATATCATTCCGTGAGTTTCGTAAAACTGATCCACTGTTCAGATCCACGGTACACGTACCTTGTTACACAGTAACATGGTACGTGTACCGTGGAACAGAACGTGGCAACTATGACAAGTATACCCTCTATGAGGAATATAGTGGAGGCCTATGTTCAGTGGGGTTTTTTAGGATGTAACGGTGTTTGTTGTAATAGTGATAAGAAAAAAATGTGGGAGGAAAAAACGCGGAATTTTTTTCTAAATTAAATCTCGGTGTTTAGGGCACCGTTGCAAAGGCGGGCATATATTTGTGGCAGTAAAATTCTGTGCTCCCCTTTCTGTGCTCAATTCTGTGCTTCCACTGCCATTTCCATGGCCCATGACCAGCAGTGGAAGGAAACTGTAAGGAGAGGCAGGGATTAATTTTATTATTTGAAGAAATATTTTTGTGTAATAAAAGTTATCAATCATCATCAAACAATTTGTTATACAAAAGTTGTGTAAGCAAGTTCAATGGTTAGAACAGTAATAAATAACAAAACCAAACAATTCTACGGAAAAGAAAAAAATTAAAATATTATGTCACTTCTACAACTAAGGTAAATCTAACGAATCGCCATATGTTAAAATGAAATAAATACTGTGAAGAAAGAACAAGGTTTTTACCATCAGTCAAGTGTAATATTCCTCTGCAAGATGCAGGAGTATACAAGCTTGATTGTGAATGTAGTCTCTCTTATATAGGACAAACTAAAAGATCCATGAAAACCCGCGTTAAAGAACACATAGCTGATGTGAAGAATTGACGCTTCGGGAAGTCTGCAGTATGTGAACACGTACAGGATCGCCCCTGTCACTACATTAGATTTGATAGACCACAAATCCTCGCTAAAGAACACCGATTCCTTCCAAGGATAATTCAAGAGGCTATTGAAATCAAAAACATCCTAATTTCAATAGAGAAGATGGCTGGGTGCTACCATCTGCTTGGGATCCCATAATTAATAAAATTAAATCCCAACCCAAGCATACAACTGCAAGATTTCATGATACTGTAAGTTCATACTGCATAGATCGGAACAAAAATTAATAATTTTTAATCTGGAGGTAGCCGTGGTTAGCTATGACATTGGGACGTCATACACCTCAGTCCCCTCCCCCCCTCGTGACCATGGGTGCTGTAAAGTGCTCGGAACGTCAGGAATATAAAATAAGTTAAAATACGCGATAAAATCCGTAAAATTAGTTTTATTTAAATGTGTAGTGTTCGCGTAAATATAAGAAATCAATAAATTCTGTTAATTTAGAGAAGCGTAATTTAGTAACGAAACTAATTCTAATAAAATATTAGTTTTATTATTCATATAAATAACATTTAAGAAATAATTGTTCTGAGCACTCTTAGCTATGGTTCTGATTAAACGTAGTGATCATGTACTCTTTGGTTCTGAGGGGTCCTTTCTAAATATTACCATACTCTTTGAAGCGTTTTACAAAGGTGACATTTGACCATAGATAAATATATATGTAGCAAGCTACAGATACGACAGTTACTTTTGGTTACTTTTAGTCAAGTTTCCCAACTATGCGTTTTGGCGCTGCAGTCGCCCATTTTGACAGATGAGTAATAAAAAAAAATATAGCTTAGAGATTGCAAGCACACATCCTTCAAATCATCGATATCGATGTTTAGTGGTGTTCTTATTTTATCGATATCGACAGAAGTGCATTATACAGGAATAATAATATTACTTAATGAAACACTTATAATACATTAACATTTATTTTTTATTCAAGCACACCTACATCATATACATACGTAATTTTAGGATTAAATTAAAGGCACATTAAGTTATATAAACAAATTAGAAAATCGTACATAACATTGTGCATAAATAAGTACAATTTGACGAGAAACAGAGCAATATTTATAGTTCATTAAATAAAGCAAATTAAACCACATGAATCATATTTAAGTGCTTAATATTTTACTTTTCAAGTTACTTTTTTGGCCTGGCCATTTTTTTTACAAAATTATTTTAATTGTATTAATAAGAAAGTTATTTGTTTAACATAAAATAAAGGTTTTCAAATAGTTCTCTACAGTTTTAAAATAGATTGGACATTAAGCAAGTCTTTGTGAGGATTGTTCACCCTTTTTTTTGCACACAAGTTACAACCTTTTTTTAAAATTTTAACATCTCTTCTTTTATTTCATTTTCTTCACCACGTAACCTGAAAAGAAATAAATAAAAATAAAGTCCAATATTCATATTTTATGACTGAATGATAATCATAAATCATATATTATTCATATTAAGGTAAAATAGGGCTTCATGGCAGTTGGCATTTTCTTTCGGTCAGCCATGGTGAGGTGAAAATAAAGTGATAGATGCAGTAAATAAGAAATAAAAAATATATAAATATTTACATTGTATACATCCATTATCAGGAGCTTTCTCAATGTCTTCAGGCACAGAGTTCCAAATTAGTGTAAACTTAATACTAAAGGAGTTGTTGATAAAACCATTGAAGTGTAGTGGAACTGTAATCTTTAGATTAGATGAAGAATAAAGAATTCTTATTGTGATTTGAGGATAGATATGCTGAATATAGATATAATAGATATGTTGAAATTTTGCCTAATTATGTATAAGAATAAACTGAATTTATCATACCATTTTACCAATGTGTACATTTTGTATCTTCTGGCAACATTTGTCTCACCACATCAGCTTTTCACATCAGATTTCTATTCCTGAAAACAAACAATATTTGTGAATTTTATGCTCTTATACATAAACCCAAAATTAAAGAATAAATATATAATGTATACATCTATATTGTATGTATTAACTCTGTATGGCTACTGTTAACGACAGTTTAGTATAATCGTAATTAAAAAGTAATCTATATTATCATATAACTAAGTTATATGGTAACATAAATTACTTTTAAAAAGAACATTTATCTCCTTGGTGTTGGTACTTTCACTTGGAGGTTGTTCCGTGATAAGCATCTGAAAAATAAACAAATATCGACATCAACATTAAAAATAACAAGTATGCTCAAGATGCTAATAGCGTAATGTAGCATAAAATCGACTCCGCGCTATAGAAGCATATTCTAGGTTGCTACAGACCAGAGATTTTTAGGGAGTAACTTTATTTATTTATTTCTACCTCTGTCTTTACAGGCGTACCTAATACGACAGTGTAGGCATATAAAACTATCTAATTTAATAAGGACAGAACACAACTTATCTACTATTATAACATAATACATAATATAATGTCACTTAGGTAAATTCACCCAAGGAACAGCAGAATAAATCTACATCCTGAGCTACTTTATTTAGTGTGCAGCACTCGGGTCAGTGGGCCTCGTTTGGAAGGTACGTGCGCGCGGTGTCTCGAATGGTGGGGGCCGCTTCCGGCACCACACGTACCTGTCCGGCACACACAACATAGCTATTCGCAATATCGCCTCGTTATATACTTGGTTTGCGGGGACCTGAAACAGAGTTTACGTTTCAGGAATCCGAACATTCTATTTAACCACCGTCATCATTACAGCGCTTCACAAGTCCACTGCTAAACGTAGGCCTCCCCCAAGAAATGTCACAAAGCACGGTCCTAAGCCACCTGCATATCCAGGTCGTCACTTCATCAACATTTTATTTACTTAAACATTTTTTTCTTAACCTAAGACTTTTATACTTCTTTAAGGCCAATTTTTGGGGTTCACCCATTTTAGATACATATTTTTCATCAATATCACCCTTCAATATTTTATTGTTTATGTTGCACCAATTGTGTCCATGTAAAAAGGAAGTCGTTGGATGCAGGTGGCTCAGGACCGTGCTTTGTGGCATTCTTTGGGGGAGGCCTATGTTCAGCAGTGGACTTGTGAAGGGCTGTAATGATGATGATGATGAATCTAATTAAAATATTGGTGAAAAAGTTTTTTACAATTAAGGCATGCTTATCACACCCTAGGCAGGAAAAACTCAAAGTGCTCAATATTTTTCTTTTCAAATTACTTTTTATATTACTTCCAATACAGCTATAATTCAAATAGTTATGAATAAAGTGAGTACCATCCCTGTACAAGATAAGGAATTTTTCGTTAGGGTATGCCAAATTATTATTTTTTAACAATTTATACTCTCTAAATTTAATGTAAGAGTGAATGTTTGTCTCCGTACTGCTAATATATGTTTTGATGCAATCCTTACAACGAATCGCTCTCGTTATTTTCCGACAAATGTATCCAGCAGTGTAAGCTGAGCAGTGGAATTTGATTTTTTCCATGACTACATCATTCACCAGCAACTTTTCTCTTGAACTTGCTTGTGAAGAAGATGGGAGATCTCGCGAAATACTGACAGTGTTTTCCGAGTCATTTTCTTTATTATTATGAAGGTTTTTAAAAAGAAGACTAACATTTAATAATGTTTCTCCATTATCCTCTTCACAGTTAGGGAATTTGGAATGTGGACTAAGCATGTTAGATAACATCAAAGATTTAAAGGCATATATAAATGTGTTTTCATCTGGGTTAACATTTCTATAATTTATAGCTCTTATACGGCCAAAAAAATTTTCTAATGGGTCTTGATTAATATTCCTCGGATAATAATATTCTACATTATACTGTTCAAATAACAATTTGGAGACCCTTATAAAACTTTCAAGAGTTGTAATCCATCCTTGTTGGGATGGCACTCGCACAAGTCGAGGTTTTCCTGCTTTTGTAGCATGTTTGCTACTGGTGTCTACAAAAACCATTTTTTTAATTTTATTAATGGCCTCAATCCAAAAAGTGTGATGTTGTGAATTTTGTTTAACCGCTCGTCTTAACTTTCCTCTTTGCACACCACCCGGGTAGCCATTGACGCTGTCAAACAGTGTGTCGAAGAATTCAACAACTTCTGCTGTTGTGGCCATTGTTGCGTCAGAGTTTGCAGTATGAAAATAATCTGAAAAGAAAAAAGTACTTTTTAATTTAATTTCTTTTACAGTTGTACCTGCAAATCTTTCGCCAAAAAGACACTTCTTATTTGGTTACAACAACAGACTTTTTTAACCATTTTTTTACAAATTGATTTTTTTACAAATTGAGACTTCTGGTCAAATTTTACAATAGTATATACATAAATTGAATAAGCCTACAAATCAATATAGCAATCGTTACTTACTGAGTGCATTTGTATATTTGAGCATAGCAGCAGTTCGAGCACTAAATACTTGAGCAGCTACGCTGACCTTCATTTTTTTGATCTTTTGGCGATCAACATGATGAGCCGTTAACTTTGGTAGTGCCCTTGTGTGCCCCAATTTGCTATCCAAATCAAAAATGAACTCAATATCTTTCCAAGAGGCAGTTTTTTCTTCCCAAATTATATCTTTATTTAAAAAATTATTCCTTAAACCCTTTAAGAGATGAGGTGGGTCAAAAAATATGCTTAAATCGTGATCAGCAATATTAACCGATCCATCTGTAAAATAATTAAAATATATAATATTTGTCATGAAGTAGAACTAGTTTTTAAGTAATTAATAATGGTACACACCATCATGAACACCTTGAATATTCCGCCTACGAATTGTATCTTCCCTAAGTCTTCTTATTGCTGTTCGAAATGTGGACCCTTGGTCACAAACAAGACCTAAAGGTATTAACCCAGTTCGTATCACTTGGGGCACAATCTGTTTTAAAATGCATTGCAGCTCTGCTGCTGATACTGTGCCTTCACAGAAATAAAATGCTACACTCTGTCTCCATGGAGAGCATATTCCTCTTAGCATAAAAACTAAAGCATGATCACAATATTTCAGTTTTCTCTCTCCAGCTATATCTACAAACCCATTAATTATATCATCTTTTTCATTAAAAGTTAAATGTGGTGTTAGAGAGACTTCGTCAAAAACGATTGTACATAGCTTTTGTTTAGTGTCCCATTTTTTGGTTGTATTTGATATATGTTCAAATATTAATGGATTGAGTCCTGGTTGTATTGAAACCTTCTCAGAAAGTCTATTTAATGTCCGTTTACTAGGCAAGGCAAACATTTTTTCTAATAGTTTATAACTTTTGGGGCTTTGTTTCATTATGAGCAACGCCATTAATTTTTCATCTAAGGTAAACCTTCTGGCCATTTTGCTTTTATGAATTTGTTTTAATTGCATAAACAAGAAAGTCTGCGCTTGTTTGTTTAACAAATAAAAGTTTTTCAAAAGGTCTTTATTTCTTGATAGGGATTGGGCTTGATCAAGTCTTTGTCATACTGAGTCACTTAAAGTTTCAGTTGCAATATTAGTCAAAATTTTAACCAATTTTCTTTTCCTTGATACTATTTTCTTCACCGAACCTGAAGTGAAATAAATAAAATAATTAAGTTTTATATTCATATTTTATGACTGAATGATACACTTAAAAATATTAATTTATTATTTATATATTGTTATTTTAAACTTTTAATGTATTCACTTTGAAAAGATAACAAATAGTGTGGATGTCATCAGGGGAAGACTTCCAGAGAAATGTAACCTTAACAGTAAAGGAGTTGTTGATAAAACCATTGAAGTGTAGTGGAACTGTAATTTTGGGATTAGATGAAGAACAAAGAACTCTTATTGTGATTTGAGGTAGATATTGAAACTTTTTCTAATTATGTCTAAGAATAAACTGAATTTATAATACCTTTTTGCTTTTTTGTACATGTGCTACCTTTTGGCAACATTTGATTCACCACATTAACATTAGAATCAATTCCTGAAAAGAAGCAATAGTTATGAATGTTATGGTCTTAAACATAAACTCAATATTAAATAACAAATTTACAATGTATGCTTCTCTGTATTGTATGTCTACATTAAATCTAGCTACTGTTAATAAAAGTTAGTTTAGTATAAGCAGACAAACCTACGAGTTCTTCGAGAACATCTATCTCCATGCCTTTGGTACTTGCACTTGGAGGTTGCTCCAGGAATGTATCTGAAAAATAAACAAATATAATTGTTAGATACGATTTCATGCGACAAAACGTTGAAATCTTGATTTTTAGGCGCTAGTAGAACATACCTACGTGCTTTGCACTTAAGGCATGCAATATTATCCTAGTGTCTAGTATCAAATACACATAACTATCCTCTAGAACTGATGCAGTTCTAGGTATGCAGTGACACCTTCAGTCCACAGCCTGTTTATAAGCATTTAAAGTATTTTTTCTATTACCCGACATATAAGTACTTCTTTTGATTTGATCCCTACATAAATGTATAAAAAATTATGTCCAATACAATTTCACATACCTTTATTTTCTACAACTGTTGCAACACTTGAAAAATTTGAACATGAAGGCTGTTCATGAGAATTTCCAACATCTGAAATTTGTTACAATTTTGCATTTTTATAGATGTCAGTATGATAAGGCAAACACATTATTAGAAAATGAACGGTTAGTAAATTTATGAAATAGTTAGAAAGCTTTTTTTGCTACTTAGTAACTAGTACTACATGAATATTAGTACACACCTGATGATCCAATCTCTACCGATGATTTGGAACAATCATTTTGCTCTTTGCAGTAATTGTGTTCAATCGTAACATCACTTCCTGAAAACATTATTCAAAATGTTGAAAAATTTGCCACTGACTGAAATTTAAATACATCAAATCACAGTGTTCATCATAATATGTTTACTATAATTTACAATTAACATCAATTAAGATATTTGTACATACCAGGCTTTCTAATCACTACCACAGCTTCTGTGAAATCATCGTCATCTTGCACTTTACAATAATTATGTTCAGTTGTGACATCCCATCCTGAAAACATTACATAATCATAGCAAATAACGATGCAGAGTCAATAACATTTGTACCTAACTAATCATAAAGTCAAAGAGTAAAAAGAGAGTCCTTAGTTAGCCAACCTACAAAATGCTTATTCTGGAAAAAAATTACCCACATGCAATGTTTGGAAATTTGTAATAAATTGCTGCTTTTTCGATATTGTGATATTTTTATAGAATAGAATGATTTTTATTCAACATTGTTTATTACATAATATCTATAATATAATAATCGATTCTCGATTAAATTGAGCATTTTAATATCTATTTTTGATTATTTTTCTGTGTTAACTAGGGAGATAAAAAATAATTGCATACTTGTCTACAAAACAATACATAGACATAGTATCTTATAGACTAAACATTCAGTGACGTCATCAGCGTGTGAAAGAAATGCACGTATATAGTTAGACATAAGAGTAAGGGAGAAGCAAATCTATATTTCATGTCTTTTTCTAGGTATGCGTTTTTGATTGTTTTCCCTCCTTTATTTGACATTAACGATGTCAAGCTCTTTTGAATAATATTGATATTATAAGCAAACAGGTAATTGAATTTAGTGTTTTTTGTGGATCTTATTTATTAGGTAAGGTGAAAAAGATGGTAAGTTGTAGCATTTTAGGATGCAACAGCATCAGTCAACGAAAAATTGATAATATCACCTTTCATCGGTAAGTTTGTTTTGTGCTTACATTTGCTATTTGTACTGATTAATATCTATTGTTTTGAATATAAAGTGTAACATTTCATGTTTTTAATGAACTTTGTGATGTATTTTGTCAAATATTTAGATTCCCAAATTGTAAATTTTTCACGATAATGCTCCTTAATTTGAACGGTCATTCGAAAGCTTAAAGTCATAACAAACGTGTACTTTTTGATTTGGTAGGATTATAGAAACTTTAGGGATATCAGCGAGTACAATAAAGTTTTCGCATTGTTCAATAATAATATTTATTGTGATTAGTAGTTATATCCATAAATATGATTCACATAATGTTATATGTATACACTTTTATGTTCAGCTTTAAAGGAAAGTCCTTATTGCCCTACAACTCTTCAATCATTTTCTATATTACATAGACTTCACAAATAATATGTAAGTATCAAGCTGAAAACATGTTTGGATTCAAGTACATAAATATTGGGCAAAGTATATTTAATTTCACAAAATATGTATTGCTTGAAATCAGATGCACAAAACTTTATTGCATTCCATTCATTCTATTATAGATTAGCAACAATTACATTACAATATTTATTCAAAAAATGTCATGCTAATATAAAAATAGATATAAATATAGATAAAATAATAAATAAGTCTTAATCTTAAGGTACACAATAACACAACAACATAAGATAATATTCTCAATTAATGATGTAGAAAAAATTTGATGATAATATACTTACCATTACCATTAGTCAGTATCAAAAGTTATGGGTTTTGTGATAGTTGCCTAGCTTGGCAGGAGAATTGGCAACTGCAGTTATTTGGAGACAAACTGTGTGGGAGGTCTATGTTCAGCAGTGGAGGACATTTGTTAGGCTGTAAATGTATTAATTAACAATATCTAAATCTTAATATGTACATAATTTTTTTAAATGTTTGGTATGAATAATATTATCATTACATTTACATATACTTGCTATTTAAATAAATCAGTTGATATTGTTTTAATTGTTATAGGTATTGTGTTTATGCACAGATACACATACTTGATTTTTCTTTTGTTAAATACCTTGATATAAAAGTGTACTATATATTTAATATATTAATTTCTTTTAAATATATTATTTCACAACTTTCCTAAGGAATCAGCTATCAGTAACAGTTGGATAATCGCTACTGGTAGTGCTTATAGGTAACCAACAAAACTTAGCAGTGTATGCTCAAAACATTTTAAGCCTCATTGTTTTAGATGGACTAAATATGCTTAACTTATGTAATTTATAATATAATTAAGATAATTTTTTAAATGTTATAATTTCTTGTTGTATCTTGTTGTTTCTCCATAAGTGATATAAGTTTGATCTTGTTGGTAGTTATGATTTTTGACATTGTTCTGTATGTATTAAAAATTGACTAGCATTGCTTATTTTATTTTCAAATGCTGACATTCTGTATTATTATGACTTGTAATAATTGGGGGCATGACAAAGACAAAATATTTATTTGTAGATGTATTGATTAAACATGAATCCTCATTTACAAATGTTGGAACTTTATCTGTACTACCATGTTTTATGCAAATAAAGATTTAAATAAAATAAATAAATAAGTAATTTAAAATCCTGACCTAAATATACAAATTAATAATTTATTATGCAATAATAATTGTAAAACTGACTGGGAATGCCTACCAATGGGACATTTAGTCCACCCTTAATCCCTTTTATAAAGGTGTTATAAACATTAATGTGTAAATAAATTAAGAAATAAGAGATAAGTATTACCTATCTAAGTATAGTTTAGGAGTTGTACCTTATTATTTATACCATTAAAATATATTGTATACAAGGCAAATAATGTATATATATACACTCCTAATCTGATTCTAACGACCAGCACCCAAGAATTTCTGCCATGCAAAGGTATAAATCAAGTTTACAAATGCATATTTTTGAGAAATTCTAAGGCTACTCAAACCAAGCATTACAACTAATGCTCTAGAAAGAAGACAAAAATTTTGTTAAATTTATTGTTTATTAATGTGTTGAAAAATTAATAAATAATCGTTTGTTTATTTTAATTTGATTGAATTATATTTAATATATAATTGTGTTTTCATTTGTTTTACTTTATGTAACATTGTTAATATTTCTAAAAGTTGTGTAAGTACGCAAAATTTAGTTCTTTTTCCTTTTTAAATTTCAATATATTTTCATTTAAATAGAATATAGATCTTTACAGTCTATCAAAAGTCCACTGTTGAACATAAACATGATTATAATTATTTGGCATAGTTTCAACGCTTGGAAAGCGGGTTGTCAACCATTATTTAGCTGTTATCAGGACAATGCTCGTCGCTGATCGTCGAAATCCAAAGAGTTTATTGAATGTCCAGTAAAATCGTCGATGCGCCGTTGAATACAGAATGATGATTCTGTTTTTACGCCGTTTCCGCCAGTAGTTTTTGTCACAGAATGTATTTTCAAGAGAAATTAATTAATCATCTGAATTATATAAGAACTTTTTTTATGGTAACAATTAAGTTTTTTGTATGAATGTAAGTGCTGTGAATATAAATAAACGCATAACGGGGGAAATGGAACAATATCTGGTAACCCAGTGAAAGTACCTCCCGCCTATTTCTATCTCAAAAGCATACGCGAATGCTTTATCTAGTCAATCCTCTATCTACGAAACAATAATAAAAAATACAAAATATCAACATTCCAACAAGTAACAGCTACAACAATAATTCAAGTAATCGATCTCAGATAGATTAGTGATGCGTTAACTCGAGTTGAATCTTCCTAACTTGAGTTTGGGTTGCTGTACATGAACGGATCAAGTGAGCTAGCAAAAGAGTAAAAGTGCAATTTGTTTGTTGTGTGCGCGCTTTGCGTTTCAAAGAGTATTTAGCTACAACCAAAACAATTTGTTATTTAGAATTTTATTATAGCTAGTTGTGTAATTTAATTCCCTATATAATTTTGATTAATTATGATCAATATAGTATCATCATACTTTAAATTAACGCCAAATGTAACACTTAACTCACAATAAATATATTGAATTTATTTAAGAATATTTTGACTTTAAACTTCAACCTTTTGTAATTAAACTAGTAATAGCTTATGTACCTACATCTTAAAGCTAGACTAATACATAAGTATATGATACATACTAAATATACCTTTTCATATCAATCCTACATAATAAGTTTTAATAGATATAAAAAAGGAAATTATAATTATCTCAACCCATCAAAGAGCTAGATAGAAAAACAAATTTATAAAAAAGTAATTTGTAACAAATCATTTACTCTGATTCGTACTGCTAACTCAAGTTGTGTGAATTTCAACTCGAGTTAAATCAAGTCAAAATTTTCTAAGTTGGCACATCTATAAGATCAGAATCCCTAATATTCACTTCACTTAGTTGTTGTTGTTTTAACTTTCATTAATCGTTTGACCATTTCGTTTCATTATTAACCACAGCTTTTTTGGTGATTTTTTAATGATCTTGCTTTTAAATATTGAAGTAATTATAGCGAAAAATAGCCTGTTACTGTGTAATAATAGTGAAAAATCACCTGTTACAGTGTAGCCAATAGATAATCTCACTTTTACTTATTCTACAATAACTTCCTTACAATAAGTTCCTAGATTGACAAATCTTGCCAGATTTTCAGCTATGAATTGTTTATATATACGCTTTATTATACGTACTTTCATCTTGTTAACACTTGGGCCCAAGAATGTATAGAGACGTCTTAAGTACCATGATTGAAAGTAATAAAATAACTCACCTGTTGCAATTAGAGGCACACCATGAGCTATTTCATTGTCAGTAAGCAAGGACGGGTAGGAGTATCGAAGTCTTCTGCCTTCATTGTCGAACTGAAATATATCAAAATGTTTTTCACAGACGTGTTTGTTAAGTAACTGTTCTTTGGAAAGTGCAATGAGCTGGGGATTTGTCGGCACTATGAAAGACATCCATAAATTTCTTAAATTATCGTTCCTAGGGAAACTGAAAAGCCGGTGCGTTTCATGTGTTGTATTGCAACCACCAACACAACACTTTTTGTATACCATTATGTTGGTATATGCAATATTCACACGAGCAGCACAAAAACAGAATATTGTAATAACTTAGGAAAATTCGGTTATGGCGGCAATCAATCAATATCGATAACTTTGACTTTTGACAATATGATTTGACATTAACACAATATGGCGTGTCAACATGCTCAAAATGGCGTCCGTAGGCAGAGAACAAATTTGCGACGGTAGCGCCAAGTTGCATAAATTGGAACTAAGCTGTCACGGGCCTGCATTTGACTGCCCCATCTGTACTTCAAAGTATGGAGCAAAGAGAATATAATCACTACGTTTAAGAGGCGGGACTTCCATAGTAAAAATAATAGCATGAAATTACGCCAAGTTACTCTACCAACATCAAGATATGACATTTAGTTTTGAGAAACAGTGCTGACAACATTGACGAATTCCAATAGTGCTGTAAATGTCTATCCTCGAAT